AGGGGAGAGGAACAGGTGAAAGGACAGAGATATAACAGGTGCATGGAATGAAAAGCACAATATGAAGGGAGAGAGAGAGAGAGACTGACTGACTGACAAAGGGTGCAACTCAATCAGCTCGCTAGCTTCCTATAGGTCGTGAATCAGTGTATCGTGCACACGAATAAGGGCACTTGGTAAGGACAGTAAGGACTCTGGCTCACTACACATTGGGACACTGATGACTATTTCCGGCGACATGACAACATCCTCCTTGTACAACATCACTGGTATTTATGATAAACAGCAGAACTGATATATTTCTGGCATCTTTTACAGTTATACAAGTACATTATAATAAATTCCTAAATTGCAGCCATAAATAAATTATAAATCTTTACCAGATTATGTTCATTACCTGTCTGATGTATGCTTATGCTTAAGGGAACATAGGCAAATTTTGAAGCCTAATTTTATGCCCTTTCTCTCTCCAACTTCCCTCAGTCATGTTCACTTGGATGTACGTCATTGCTTACGTTGCACGAGTAGCCCTTGATTATTTGGAATCCGATATGGAGCAGATTTATTATTTATAGTTTTTTTCCTTATAAATTTTTACACACCAAGGACTTTTTTTAATGCCAGAGGGACTCTTTAGCGCCTCCCAGATTTCAGGGGCTCAAACTGCCTGAAGAGAGGATGGGAGCTATCTGCCATAATACTCGCCTTCTTCCTTGCCCTTTCAGTGAAAAGTTGTCTTAAGTACATCTAGGGTTTACCAATATTTTACTTGCCATTAACACAATTCTAGAAAGTTTATTCTTAAATATACATTTTAAGTGACCAAACCAGGCTGGGAGATGAAAGGTTAGAACACTCTCAACAATAGATTTATACAATCTAGATATGAATCTAAGATATGCTGACTAACACCAAGGGCAGCAGTTGTCTGAGAAAAATAGAGTCGCTGCGAGCATCTATTGAAAACTGTACTCCCAAAACAGCTCACCTGGATATTTAAAAATTTTCCATAATTTCAACATGTTAGGCATCAATGGAAACCGCCTCAATTATCATATCTTGTTTTGTGCTAATTCATTTGTCTTGGCAAAATTAATTTCTAACTGGCTAGAGCGACATAATGTTACAAGGGCCTTAGTGTGAGCCATGATAGGCAGCACCACCTGAGGGGTTTGTTTTCGCAACTGAGCACATCAGACATGATCTCTCTGACACAGACCCTCTGTGGATGGCAGGAAACAAAGTTTTAAGATCAATCAGCAATTTCAAGAGAATATGTGTCTTCATTGAATTAAAAGCTGAGCTAAAATCTACAAATAAAACCCTATATCCTTTAAGATGCATAAGATGATTTGTAACTGTATTAGGCAGAGTCAGCACAGCATCATGTGTGCCCTTATCTCTCTTATATGCAAACCGGAGTGGATCTAGCATAGAGTCCATATTACTGGCCAAAATCAGCTCCATCATTTTACACAATATAGAAGTTATTGCGATAGGTCGAAAATCATTTGGCATGATACTTGCACTGGGCTTTTTTTTTGGCAAAGGGTAATTATTGAGCAGATCTGTCTTGAAAGACAGAAGCTGAATGGAAATATTTCCCAGGTGCTCAAAAGGCTGTTGAGACAAAGCCTCCAGCACCATGGAGAGGTCCCACTCTGGAACAGCTCTTCTAGTGACTGAAAGAGAATGGCGAACACCCTTCATAAATCTATGAAAAAGGGGGTGTTGCCCCACCATAGTGCCGTCAAACCCAACATGACATGCAGCAATAGTCACTAAATAGACCTTAACAGTAGAAAAAGGTTTTCCACTATCCATAAGGTCTTGCAGAAAAACCAAAATATCAGAAACTGAGCACTGATATGATATCAGTCAGCACCCTTCACACTACTCCTCAAACACACGCCACTTACAGTCATAAATAGCTGTCTGGTGACACTGCTTGCGCACTTTTTTCTCACTAACTCTCACAGACATTTGCCCCCAGGCAGGAGGGGGTTACTCTGCTGGGCCGGTGGCTTTCCGCGGGATTTATTAGCCCTGCCTGCATTATGGAAATGGTGTCCAGTAGCATTGGGCTGAGAAAGGCAAAGTCTGAAAGCCTTGTCCTCCTCGTCATCACAGCACTGTTGCATTAAAGCAATGGCAGGTCCAAAGAGAGCCTGGCCAAGTTCAACCGGCGCTCCAGCGATGCACCGCTTTTCACTACCAGGGAGACCAGATATATTAAGCCACAGTGCACGTTCTCCGACAACCGAGAGAGCCATAAGAATGCCCGCTAGCTTGATGGGCATTACAGAGAACCAGGTCATTAACAGTTACAATCTCCTTCCAGAGAGCAGGTGAGGGTAACCCTTTCTCCAGTTGTTCCCCCATGTCGACCAGGAGCTCGGCCTGGTAAGCTGAAAGCAGGGAGGAGATGTTGAGGGCTCTTACAGCCAAGGCCAAAGCTTTATAAGAGGCCTGGTGGAAGGACTAAGAAAAGCTATCCATTTTGCCAGGGAGAACAGGTTTGAGAGGGGCGAGCAGCCCACCTTGAGAGGGATTAAGGTGCCTGGCGATAGAGGGCTCAAATGGCGGGCAGGGGTCACCCATGACATTCGAGACCGTGTTTGAGGTTGAGCGGGTCTCCCCAGCAATTTTTCATGTGTTTTGCACATGCAGGGAGGACAGGGAAAGCTGCTTTCTATGGCCGGGGTGGGGTCCCAGGAGTTTCCCCTCATAGAGGTCCCCCTCTTGGTCAGAGGCACTTTGTAGAGCCGGCCAGTCGATGTTCAGGCGAGTGGCAGCTTGCTCACAAACCTCGAAGAGGACCGATTGGGGTAAAGCAGCGTGAGCCTTCGTCATTACAGATGATGGGATGGCATCCTCATCTTCTGAGCCGTAGAGAAGGCCAGGATCGTCCTCGTCCCCAGAGCGGAGCGGCTCGTCCATAAAAGCGGGCTCGACCATGGGAGGCCCCGGTGTGCGCACCTGCATCACCCTTTTCCCCATCAGTCGGACAAACCTAAATCAGCACTCTGTGTAACGGCGACTTTGAGCCTGTAGCGCCAGAGTTTCTTGGGGTGCGCCAGGCAATGGCTACAATTCTCGGGGAAATCAATTGCTTCTTCAGAGTGTTTAAGGCCCATGCACACCACACAGAAAGGGATGGGAATCCCTAGCGGCGATAAGGACGCTTTTTGAGCTGATTGAGACACGCATAAAATCTGTCTGTATCGAGCTGATTAGAGTTAGGAGGAGAAAAAGCCACCAAAGGCCATACTAACTATACATGTATGTGTGAACAAATGAGTCTGGGTAAGTTTGGTGAGAGAGACGATATTATGTAAAACAGTGTGGCAGAAAAGCAGTAGGAGCATGTACTCTGATGTACATTAAAATTAATTGTATAATATGCCTGATTAATTAATCAAATTAATCAATTTCATACACACACAAAATTAGATTAGATTAGTTAAGCAAATAAACAGAATATACATTATAAAATGAATTAACATATTTAATTGACAGGCCCTACTATGTACACATGCAGACAGACCTAAGGGCCTACACTCATATAAGGACTGTATATACACAATAACGTAAAAGCTAACACATTCTGTATACACAATAAATATATGCAAAGGCAAACAACACAACACTGCTGATATAAATTCAGTATATCAGCTCTAGAAAGAAACCGTACGGTAGGATATCACATGAAGGTTTTGCATAAACCATCATATTAAGGTTGTGATTAATTAATATGTATTTTTAAATAGGCAGCTGAGTGTCATCTGCTACAGTAAATGTTTGTCTGTGTGGGTGTCTGCACACGTGCGACCGCTTTTCTTTTTCTGAACCTTAGAATTTATAGATGTCGCATCATAATTCTGGAAAGTGCATTGTCAGATCCATCTCTGCAGGGAGCTTCTGTTTGTAGAGGGTCTGTAATGCCAGACTTTTTCCTGCAGGGCAGATTCATACATATTCTGTTTAATTGATAGAAATCAAACGGGACCTGGCTCTTTCTTAATGATTAATTAAGCTGGACAAGACTTTTTTAAGAGCCTCCCAGAAATAAAGTCATTATTGTTTCGATTGTTTTCTTTGGCATACTTACACCATACTGGAAAGGCAACACATAAAAAATTGCATTCAATGCCCATACAAAACTAGCATTTGTTTTTGTATTCATTTTTTGTTGTTGTTACAGAGCAGAAAATGTAAATGTAGAAAACTCATGGAAGCACTTAAAAATAAAAAAATCCCTTTGTCCTTCAGAGTTACGGTAGTGATGGAGCAATGTTTCTTTGTTTAGAAGATCATTGAGCTACAGACACAAAATATTGCAAACAGAAAAAAAAACGTCTCAACCAACCTCAATTCAACCCACACAACACAACCTAACCACCATGAGATAAATCTGTTTTCTTTTTCAAAACGCCTGACCTTCAGGCAGAGACATTAACATAACTCTTTTCTCAGTAATCCCAATTGATCAAAGTGTTAAACAAGAAAGACATTTCTGCAGGATGTGACCATATCAGAAGAGAGGAGAAAAGGCCAGAGATATGCTTCAGTCTTTGGTGGACATTATTCGCTTTTGAAAGCTTCTCAAACATTATTTAAATGAATCAGCATCACATGACACTGTGGAAAAATAGATGCCAAAGAAAATGATGCAGAAAGATACATGGTCTGCCAGTGATAAAAGGTCAGCATCATGATGTTTTACTTCTCATTCAAAGCACTGCAGCCAGGTAACAAAAGTCTCAATTTAATTTTTATAAAACAAAATATGATTAAAAAAAATATTTATTCATTATAAAGATATACTATTATTTTTATTAAGATTAATAATATATATATATATATATATATATATATTTTTTTTTTTTTTTTTTATTACATTTATTAATAAATATTATCAAAGTTTATTGATCTGTCTTTTATAGTTTGGTTGCTATGAAAGAAAAAATACTTAGCTCATAACTGGATTATGTGCTCACCATAATATGTCCGGTTCCACATTCTCTTTGTGACAGACTCTCCTGAAGGTCGATCATGTCCCTCTGAAAGACTCTCATTTAGAGCATTGCAGTACAACATCAGACCGTCATAGAAACCACCTGAGATGATGTTCATCTGAAAGAATCAAATATCCAAATAAATGAATGCACATACAAGTGAAAAATTCATAATCACTATGAGGCTCCTCAAAGATTTATAAAACTATTTTTTTACCTTTATTTTCAATTTACAAGTCAAGTTGCTATTACACAATACACCTTTGCAATTTATACAATACAGATTTTCAAAGCAGTTTTAGGGATAAACAGGAAAATAATGATTCAATGATGCAAACAGAGTTCGGTTCTGCCACAAAATAGTGTCATTGTTCAGCTGAGGTCAGTTCAGTGTTTATTCAGTTCTGTTCAATAACTGTAAAGACCATCAAGTAATCAATTAGTTTATTTCAGCTATAAAGCTGCTCTGGAGAAAACAGCGATGTCATCGTCCAGATCAGTTCAGTTCTCATCCAATAGTGTCAGTACAGTGAAAATCAATAATATTGCTATATATATATATTTCCATAAAAACTAATTTCCTATGTGCATTACAAATCAGTCCAGCATCCAGAGTGAATTGTGCTGGTACTGATGGATATGTTAGATTGATTTTCTTGACACACATCCTACCTGGAGCATGTTATTATGCTGTTGGTTTTCTGAATACACCTGATCTGAATCCTTTACCAAATATTTGTCAGAAATTAAAAATGAAAGTCAGACTGTGTGAGGCACAGGGGAAAGTGCTTCATATCTTAATCTTTTGTCACGATCCATTCAGACTATTTTACCCCCGCAGAGATTCATTTCTATTTAAATGAACAGAACTGATGAGAGAGTTGCTTTTTTAAGGCACAGTCGCTGGGTTTCATATTTCATCTCACTCAAGCCCTGTCATGTGAACTGGGACACAGAAAAACACTTGAATATGGTCTCCAAAGCAAACCTCTCAATTAGAATCCACACTGAGGGGAAAATCCACAAAGCCTCATACAAATTAAGACAGATGTGCTCATACAGCTTGTTCGATTAGGAGAGAACAGGGAAAAACAGAGTTCTTCTCAGGAGCACACCCTGGTGTTAAATACCCTGTTAAAAATACCTGTTTTCTCTCCTGTGTCTGTGTGAATGTGTCTGTATGCATGTTGTTTTGAGATGCACTGTGAAAAAAAGATCCGACAGTTGAATTTGCTGAATTGAACTAAATTACCTGTCTACACGCCTATTATATGCACCATCTCTAATAAACAGCACACCCATTAACACCCATTAATACATCATACACATGAGCTAAATAGACACATTTTTTTTCTTGCATTAAAATACATGAACTTTAGTCTCCTGATGGATGCAGAGCAGCTTAAACCGTTTGACCTGAAATTTGCAGGTATGCGTCACATTGATTTCATATTCTGGGCCTCAAATACACACACAGATTTATAATTATGCTCAACCTTTACCGTTTGGAGAGAAAGAGAGCAAAAGTGCATTGCATCCTGTTCCTTTGTGCATTATTTAGTGAATAGATGACTATTATAGAAAAAAACGGTAAACACACATAATGCACTTTGGGTGAAAAACATGAATTTATTCATTTTGAGGAAGAAGGTCCCTTCAATCTCTTTATGAGAAAAGCCTGGCTGTAATGGGGGCACACAGAACTTTTAACGAGATAAGAGAATAGAGAAATAAATAGCAATTGCAACGGAAGATAGAAAATATGGAGAGCACAGTAGAGTCTTGGCAGAATATAGGCATAATAATAAAATAACGAAAAAGGTAAAAATAAATCACTTCATAATGATCTCTCTTACCAAAGAATCCTCCACTGTGAAGTTGAACATCCGTTTGGCATCCGATTTTAGATGAGTGACAAACTCTTTGTACTCCTGATTTTGTGGCTCTAGGTAGGTCAGTATCTTCACACTCTGAAAAATATAAAAAATATATACAAATTTACTCTAAGAGGCAAATATCTATTCTAAAAAATGTATCCAATATATAAGCACCTACTGTGTGTGTGTGTGTGTGTGAGTATGTGTGTGTATAAAACTGTATATAAGACCATGTATCTTTCTGCAATTTATAAGCAACATAAATCACTGTAAAAAAATGTAAGCTAGTACAAAAAAAAAAAATCTTGGTACTAATTTCCACTAGATTTTTCTTGTTGACTCAACTTTTGTAAATAACAGTTATACGAACTGAAAATAAGTTGTCTGTGACACACACACACACACACACACACACACACACAAAAAAAACGTTTAGTTGAGTCAACTTGACATTATTTGTTTTCTGGAGAGGTGCAACTATTCTGTAACAAATCTTTTGTAGTTGAACCAATTCAAAAAAAAAATTCTATTGGAATTTTTTTTATTGAAAATCATTTGGTCATCACCATTTTGGTGATGAGCGTTTCCTTTGGTTGGTCAGTTTGGCTTTTTGTGTGAGTTTGTGGTCTTTAACAGTGTTTAGAAAAACACATAATTTGTTGCTAAGAAAGAAAGAAACCAAGATCATCAAGTTTTCAGCCTCATAAACTAGAATAAATCCCTAATCTTATTTCTGACCATAAGTGATTTTTTATTTTATATTTTACCAGCAAAACTTTCTTGCAGGAGATCAGACATTCTGAATTCTGAATTTTAAAATACATTATGGGGAAAAAAGTATTTTGACACACACAGACATCAAGAATCAGCATATGAATCTCAACAATGGTGACATGCTTCATGCCGCAATGCATGGTGGGAGCCACCATAGTATTAAAATCATGGCTCCCAGCATGCATTGTGGCATGAAACATGTCACCATTATTGAGATATGGTGTAACATCACAAATAACATCTTTTGATCAGGAATAAGAGTAGTGACCTATTCCCTTTTTGATGCTGTTATCTAGATCACCTGATAATTTTGTTATGGCTTTCTTTGCAACAAATGATGTGTTTTGCTAAACTCTGTTACAAAGACCACAAAATCACAAATGCCAAGAGTCAAACTGACCAACTCAAGGAAACGCTCATCACCAAAACGGTGACCAAACATTAAAGCTACATCTGAACCTGTTTATTCTTAATAAGAACTTCTGTTTCCAATAGACAACATTTTTTGAATTGGTTCAACTACAAAAGATTTGTTACAGAATAGTTGCATCTCTCCAGAAAACAAATAAAGTTGACTCAACTAAACGTTTTTTTGTGTGTGTGTGTGTGTGTGTGTGTGTGTCACAGACAACTTATTTTCAGTTCGTATAACTGTTATTTACAAAAGTTGAGTCAACAAGAAAAAGCTAGTGGAAATTAGTACCAAGATTTTTTTTGTTGTATGAGATTTTAACAGTGTGGATTTTTGCTGAATCAACACAACAAAATCAGTAATTTCAACTTTTTTTAAGTTGTGTTTTTTACAGTGTAGGTTATGTTAGTGTACAAGGTTATTAAATGCTGTAAAATATATATTGATAACTGTTAGTTAATGCATTAACTAATGCTAACAAATGACCTTATTGTATAGAGTTACCCACATTTTTAGACTGATTGAAGTATTTCCCTTATAAAGTTACATACATATATGAATTGTAATTTGCAATATAAAAACAGACCAACCTGACCAATTATAATCTACCAAAGCTAAGCTCCATTGAGCATCAGCATGTCCTGAATCTGCTGTGCGTGGGTTCATCAGTGGGTACTTAGTGTTGGAGTTCAGACATTTCTCACGCTCTGCACAGAAACCCTTCCTCTATCAAAACAGGCGGCTGTTATCACAGTAGGGGCTGCTGACTGCGGTTCTGTGACACTGACCAAAGCTAGAGTGACCTGCATAGCTTTTGATAAGAATATGGCTCAGATTTTGAGCCCCCTGAAGCATAGCAGGGATTGTTTTGTGTTATAGGGGGTTTAAATAAAATGCATTGTTATTATGTCACCATACAGACTAAAAGCCATGCAGGCTCTTTTTAAGGTTCAAGAGATGAGAACAATTCTGATGAAAAAGCTTCATAACTGTCTCTCTTCTCCTTTATCATGATCATAATAATTATTATCTCAAATTGTATAATATATTTCTGGTAGCAAAATAGACCATGAAACTAAGGATGTTGTTTGTGTGTGTGTCTATTATGGGATAGCTTACTGTCCAGACATAGGGCTTACTGGACAGATTTTTAAAAATACAACTGATTACAACAACCTGCGACACCTCCTTAGGGAGCAATACAGACAAACTGACTAAGTTCAGAGAAAATACCTTGAATTAAGTTTATTTGGTTAGACTTAATTTGATGGTCCCCTAACAGACATTCAACTGACTATAAAGTAACTTTAAAACTACATGTCAAGTTGTCAACTTATTTTACTAACCCCAACCCTGACCTTAACCTAACAGTCTACTAGTCTACTAACCAGTGTAACCATTTATGTTATTAGAGAACATTTACTGAATAAAATTTGTCCTCTGTTAAGCATAAACCGCATGAAATTTAGTTTTATTTCTCCTTTAAACAAGAACAAAAATGTCAGTGGAGTAAGAAAAAACAAAGATAATTTCTCAGAAAATAAATTAACATTTTATGAAAAGATTATAAAGTTTTAATATTGTTATATTTAAATTAATAATTAAATATTAAAGGTTATTATTGATATTTAACATTTTAACTGGAAAACAAAACAAAAATACTAAATGAATGAAACTGAAAACGATTATTGGAAGTGTATCTCCTGTCTATCCCTCTCTCATGTTTAATGAAAGGCTTTAATCACCTGGAAGGCCTCCTTCGCAAAGACATCATCTGGGTCTCCTCTGGCCCATGGCTGCGAGGGCCTGGACTCCAAACTGCGTCCAAAGATGTCAATGTAGAAGAAGACATACTCCTCCTTAGGGAGACCTGCCCTGTGGAAGTGCACCATCAACTGCCGGAAAATATCCGGAGAACAGCATACAAACACCACTGCAATGAGAAAGAGAAATAGAAAGAAGGATATCGACATGAGAAAAGAAACTTTAGCCTCCTCCTAATTGCCTCCACTACACACAAACACACATCCTTTTTTTTTTTTTTTTTTTTTTTTAAACACACATCCTGATTCTATGGAGCATTGAGGATATCAGTCTTCCTTAAGTGATAGGAGCTCAAATATAGTTTTTTTGTACTCTCATTAGCATGTTTACCAGAAATGACTTCGTAATAAATATCATAATGTCATTACCTCAGCATGACGTGCCAATATAACACATCCAGACAGGAATTAGCATGTGCACGCTCATTTTAGTCCATGTGTGTGTAAGTGTGTCTGTATGGTGCATTAATGCATTTATGGCTCTGATTGAATCTGGACTGTCTGTTCTATGCTTTTAGCATCACAAGTCATACATTAAAACATGACTTTGATGATTCATTCAATGCATAATACCATTTTTCTAATCAGTATTTTTGTCTTTTCCAGTAATATAAATCTCTTAACAAATATATACATTTATTTGTAAGATAAGTTAACTTTTATCCAAATGCAAAATTGCACAAGATATTAAGATATTTTCATAGAATCCATCCATCCATCCATTCTCTAACCTTCTTGCTGAGGAAACAGTGCTAACGAGCCGCTCACAGAGAAAATACATCTTAAAGTTCATTTTTATGCTTATTTTATCAAAATATTTTGAAGTTTTTTGTTTAAAAAAGAAAAAAATGTAAATGGTAAATAAAGTTACTTAATATATATATATATATATACACATACACTCACCGGCCACTTTATTAGGTACCCCATGCTAGTAACGGGTTGGACCCCCTTTTGCCTTCAGAACTGCCTCAATTCTTCGTGGCATAGATTCAACAAGGTGCTGGAAGCATTCCTCAGGGAGTTTGGTCCATATTGACATGATGGCATCACACAGTTGCCGCAGATTTGTCGGCTGCACATCCATGATGCGAATCTCCCGTGCCACCACATCCCAAAGATGCTCTATTGGGTTGAGATCTGGTGACTGTGGAGGCCATTTTAGTACAGTGAACTCATTGTCATGTTCAAGAAACCAATTTGAAATGATTAGAGCTTTGTGACATGGTGGAAGTAGCCATCAGAGGATGGGTACATGGTGGCCATAAAGGGATGGACATGGTCAGAAACAATGCTCAGGTAGGCCGTGGCATTTAAACGATGCCCAATTGGCACTAAGGGGCCTAAAGTGTGCCAGGAAAACATCCCCCACACCATTACACCACCACCACCAGCCTGCACAGTGGTAACAAGGCATGATGGTTCCATGTTCTCATTCTGTTTACGCCAAATTCTGACTCTAACATCTGAATGTCTCAACAGAAATCAGGACTCATCAGACCAACTGTTCAATTTTGGTGAGCTCTTGCAAATTGTAGCCTCTTTTTCCTATTTGTAGTGGAGATGAGTGGTACCCGGTGGAGTCTTCTGCTGTTGTAGCCCATCCGCCTCAAGGTTGTGCGTGTTGTGGCTTCACAAATGCTTTGCTGCATACCTCGGTTGTAACGAGTGGTTATTTCAGTCACTGTTGCCCTTCTATCAGCTCGAACCAGTCTGGCCATTCTCCTCTGACCTCTGGCATCAACAAGGCATTTCCGCCCACAGAACTGCCGCTCACTGGATGTTTTTTCTTTTTCGGACCATTCTCTGTAAACCCTAGAGATGGTTGTGCGTGAAAATCCCAGTAGATTAGCAGTTTCTGAAATACTCAGACCAGCCCTTCTGGCACCAACAATCATGCCACGTTCAAAGTCACTCAAATCACCTTTCTTCCCCATACTGATGCTCGGTTTGAACTGCAGGAGATTGTTTTGACCATGTCTACATGCCTAAATGCACGAGTTGCCGCCATGTGATTGGCTGCTTAGAAATTAAGTGTTAACGAGCAGTTGGACAGGTGTACCTAATAAAGTGGCCGGTGAGTGTATATATATATACACAATATATATAATATATACAATATAAAAATATATAAAACATTCTCTGAAAATAGGTCTTAATATCTTATGCAGTTTTTCTTCTCAAATAAAAATATCATTTTTAAAAGATGTTTAGATATTTTTATTGGAAAACAAGTTAAAAAAAACTGATAAAGAAAATTATTCTCACAGTGTAAATATAACCAGTAGAAACATTTTGTATTTCCATTATTCATGTGACATTGTGCTGAACAGGATGTTTCATAAAAATGATAAGGGAAAGATTTTATATGAAAAGGATGTTAAGCTTCTGCTCAACATTTCTGATAAAAAAAAAAAAAAACACACACAGGCGAGAGAAGGAACCACAAATAGGGAAAGAAAGCAAAATTCGTCATTAACTCTGATCAAATGAGTGAAGTGATCACAGAGACGGAGAGAGAGAGCGTTAGAACTTGACTCCAGACAGTCATTTGAAGAAGGAGGATAATTACAGGAGACATAAGCTAACAGCCAGTGTATGTGTGTGTGTGTGTGTGTGTGTGTTGCTCAGTAACAATGTGATTTCAGTTTGAGGATAATAACGAACACAAGGTGAGAGATGGATTTAAGAATTCTAAATGAACAACTATCGCCTCTCTGCCAATAAAATGATGGAATACAAGTGAAGGATCATGGGGAATATCAATCTATCTATCCATCCATCCATCTATCCATCCATCCATCTATCTATTTACTTCAGAGGCAGGATAACAGAAATAGACATATATAATTCAACATGTACACGGAAAATGTCTGCTTAAATTGACAAATCAAACAAAATGAGTAAGTATTTTAAACAAAATACTTTTTAGGAACCTGAAACAAAAGTAATAACCTGTAAACGTAGCCTGCGAACAAACAGATCAGTGTCAACCTGTAAAGGTCAGAATAGAGGGACAGGATCTAGATGGAGACAGACAAGTCAGTCAGTCTGTCTCAGTCTATCTTTGAATTGGCAGATCTGGATAGATCTGGGTAATGAGAGAGTCCAATGACAACGACAGGCAAACCTTGTTGAGTTGGGCAAATGTGTGTATATTTTCAAAATCTAACATGGCATCTGTATAATTTGAAAGCTTTGTAATTTTCTCAACAGAACTTAAAAAAGCATCTCTATGCCTCAGTACACAAAGAAAACACACTGGTTTCTAACTGGTCTAATCTGGTCATTAGCTGGTAGAATTTTATTTTTGGATAAGCAAAAATCAGCGACTGGCTGATCATACCATTTTAAATGGATAGTTCACCCAAAAATGTTAATTCTGTCATTATTTACTTCCCCCTCAAGTCGTTCCAAACCTATATGAATTACAGCGCACAAAAGAAAATATTTTGAGAAATGTCTCAGTATTTTTTGTCCATAAAATGAAAGTCAATCAGAACCAATGTTGTTTGGATCCCAATGTTCTTCAGCATTCTCTGTCATACAGGTTTGGAACGGCATGTAAACATAAATTTTATTTTTGCGTTAACTCTCCCTTAAAGGTGTAACTTCGGCAATTTTCAACCAGCTTTGTATTGTTAATATGTCGGTAAATGAACAATGTGATGTAGGCCTAAAACGCGTCATCTGGCGGACTTTTGACAGCTCCAGGGCTTTCGTGAAAACTACAGATTATACTTTTTAATATTTTTTAATCCATGGACATTCGGATAAACAGAGGGTTATTAAAAGAACATTTATTGTAAGGTTATGTTTAATCACTGAAAATTGTATCATACTACAGTATGTCTACTCTTTAGTCTTATAGTAAAAATGGAACATTGTGGCAAATGCTTTTTTATCTGTATGTGACTGTATTTTGCTTTGGGAGGTTGGGCAGTAGTAATAGAATGGCAGTTTCTTTCAGTTTTTCCCCTTCGTTTGGCATAAAACAGTGTTTGTGGTCATTTTGAAATGTTACAAAATAGTTTTTTCAGATTTTGTGTTTCTTGTACCCAGGAAGAATATTTTTCTACCTATTTGGCAAAAGGGAAGACAACAGCCTTTTTTCTCTACAGTCAGGTATCAATTTATGCCTTTCTACTGTATAGGCAGCCAAGTTTTATTGAAAGCCCATTTTTCCAGCAGTGAAGTACCCCTTTAAAGGAACACTCCACCGTTTTTTGAAATTGGGGTTATTCACTGTCTCCCCTACATTTAGATAGGTGGGCAAATGCATTTTTGTCTCAGTGGATGCATTGTCTTAGTCTGGCAGCGCCGCCGCTAGCATAATGAATGGAATCCTATGTTGTCAGGTAGCATGTCGTGAGTAAAAGTGATAAAAAATACAAATAATGGTCTTGTGGTCTGCTTATTCACAACGAGTACAAATAGAAATGCAGATTAAGACTAGGTGATTTCCTAGGCAGAGATTGATTTGGGACTATATGGGGGGGGGGGGCATTTCTCTCGGCGCGTTCACTACTGCGAAGATGGCGAGTCTGCATCGTCAACTTTATCAATTTATAAACTTTATCAACAATGTTTAATGCATAATCATTACTTTCGCCGGTTCTTTGTGGCAAGCTTTATTTCAGGTGTTGCGTGATATCTCTGCGCCCAAGTAGCAGTGCAAAAAACGGTGGAGTGTTCCTTTAAGGTGGTTTAGATATTTTTGGGAACATGGTTTCTGGTTAACCAGCTAAGTAAAGAGGGTAAAATACAGCACACATCTTAAAATGAGATTTTGACATGTTGCCCTCACACCCCCATCAGAGTTAAACACTTATGGATAGAGATTTAATATGAAAAACACACACATATCAGTCTGCAGGCTACTAAACACATAAATGTGAAAACGGGGAATATAAGAGGGTAAAGTCCTACTGTGAGTGAGTCAGAGGTTCAGTTCTTCGTGTCTCAAGTCAATACTAAACCACCACAGAACAAGACCTTTACATTTGCCCAACATGACTTTTGCCATGACCAAACCTACAGTAGCTGAAAGAAAGAAAGAAAGAAAGAAAGAAAGAAAGAAAGAAAGAAAGAAAGAAAGAAAGAAAGAAAG